TTACGCTCTTGTCGGGCCCCTTCTGATAAGCTGCTCGGGCACATTCAATCATTCGGGGCCATTCACGTTGGGTCTTGGGTACTTCCTATTTGGATGGAGGGCCCTTCACTCTTGTCGCGGAGGGGGGGGGGGGGGGCGGGGGCATCTGTTAACCGGCTCGGGTATACTCGATCACGCCTGGGCATTCCATGCTGTGTTTTGGAAACTTCTTATTTTAGTGGATGGCCCTATGTACTTGACAGGCCCCATCTATTAAGCTGCTCGGGCCGGTGGAGGGTTCAGAGGGAGGGGGGGGGGGGAGGCGCGAGACGATGCCCCCATGGACCACGGCAAAAGACCCATAGGCTCCAAAGGAGTCCATAACCGACCGAACGGACGCTATTTAAAATAATGAACGTCTTTGGGTTTATAGACGACCAAGAACGGCTGCAAGCAAAACTAAAGAGTTCATAAGCAAAGTTCATTCGTCGCTGATTGAGAAGGTGTTGATTGAGAGAAATTTTGTGGCTGAGAACGCTGTCCAGAAGCCTTATGCCATTGTCTGGGCCCTATATGTCCACTTGCCGGGTCAATCTGATCACCAAGGAGCCTTCCATGCTGCCCCTGATCTCTTTGCCACTCTTCGTATGGCCTAACGCTGCTGTTAGGACACTACCTGCTTCCATGCCTAGACACTCTTGATTGATCAGGTTTTTCTCCACGGATTCTTCCCACTCGTCCGAAAGGCTTTACATGGTTTTTCCAGGGCCCCTTATGTCAGGGCTGTCTTGTTGCTCAGGGGCGTTTTATATGAGCCATTGGTTCTTTCCACTTACTCAGGGGGCCTCGTACTGTTGCTAGGGCTCATGTAATGTAAAGCACCGAGACACGCGGTGCGCAGGGGTCCTTAGTCTTATAGATGCTCTTTCTGTTAACCTGCACTGGCACTCTTGATCTCACAGGGGTGTTAATTCATGGTCTTGGGTAATTCTTCTTTGTTCAAAGAAGAATTATCCAAGTGTTCTGTGCTCTGGCCGGGGCCTTATATGTCAGCCTGCCAGGGCACTTCCAATTATTTAGGGCCCTCCACGTTAGCCTTGGGTTCTTCTCGCTCGCCTTAAGAAGCCTATACTTGTTGAGGGGGGTCTCTTTGTTGGCCTAATGCAGCACCCATAATCGCTCAGATTCTGTCCCTATTGACCTTGGTGTCTTAGCCTTAGAGGAGCAGTTGGATAGGCACTGATGAATTTTTACGCGCATCTGTCCGAAGTAATTCTACGTGCCACCGACGTCATATGTGTCATTTTCCCTGGCATTTGAGTATCGCCACTCATTATACTTACGCATCACGTTCTTAGTATATTCTGAGGGCTAGAATATTTTGTAGCGTTTCAAAACAAAGTAAAATTTTGCATTAATCACCAGCCTTCAGCTGATTACATCGTCCAGCCGTCTGGCCGTAAATATGCTAGGAATTTAGTCTGTGCCTGGTTTTGAGGGTATTTAGCACCCAACTTGAGTTAGTTTGTTTACTTTTTCGAAGCGCTTGGCCTCAAAATCACGGGATTTAACATAATCTGAGAAAATAGCCGAGCTCCATGCATGTGCATACGTAGCACGCCTAGCTTTAGAGGACTGCGCATACTCATGTCTGTTCGCGCATTTATTCTTACTCTATTCTATTCTATTGCCTATATATATATATATATATATACATATATATATATATATGCATATATCATATATATATATATAATATATATATATATATATATATACACGCTACACTATCTATCTTACAATTTAAGTACCAGAATGCGAGAATATTATTTTGGAGGAGGTCCCACAATGTTGCGTTCCCCCCTTGACGAAATCCTGGATCCGCCGCTGGATCGGACAACCGAGATCTGAAAAGTCTAGATATACGGCTGTAGTCTATATAAGCACGGTAGAAAAACAACAGATTCGTGTTTTCCTGGAGTATGGATAGCCTTACGCATACAAACATGAACGCCTGTGCAAACATAATCATGCCGGTGTTTCCTCGGTGCGTTGTTTTCCAGTGTCACGGAAGCCCACGGTTCCCAAAAATGGCCGCATTCCAGATAAGTGCGCGGGCGAATTTCTCAAAATGCTAAATGTCCGTGCTGCTTTCATGTGAAACAAAGAACACGTTGCATGTTTGCATGTTTTGCTTTAGAAGGAGTTCGCGCGCCTGCGCACGTTTGGCCTGTCACGCCGCCCAAGCTCACATAAAACCTGAACTACCAGCAAACTGATGAAATGCGAGGGTTTCAGGCGAGCCCAGGCGTCAATCCGGGGCCAACGTCCCTGGTCAGAGAGCCTCCCGCGTTAGGGAGGAGACCAAGGTATGATGCATTTCTCTAAGGGCATCCAAATAACCAGATTACCCCTTCCCGTGCCGCCAGAACGACAGCCGTAGGGCACCTCGTGCTAGGACGAAATCGCCCTTCAGCCCCTGACTGCGAAAGATAATATACCCCTTGGCATTTTACCCATGGGGCCCCTTGCCCGGAAAAGGTAAGGGATCGCTCAACATTCCATGGGGTGGGTAGAAATGAGGTCTCAAATAAAAAGGGCCAGCCTTTGTTTGGCTGAGGACGTTATCCTGATGCGGGATCGATTGGTGAAACAAATCACGTGAAAAGATTGTCAGCCCGCGTGCTCGCCATCTCCGGAGCAACCACTGATAATCGAGGATGCAGTTTGCGTCAAACCGAGTGGAATTGGTCGATGCAGCCAACACCAGGTGGCCTCCGCCAGACGCACGAGAACGGCCGTCAGGAAATAACGCTTTCGAAAATATTGGAAAATCAATGCGTACCATTCAAAGATTAGACTTGGGCGTATATTTCACCGGGATTCTTTTGAATTTTCCCTCTGAAAAGAAAGACGGCTAGAGCAACACGAAAAATATAGATTTTATCCTTACTTCTCAGTTCCACCATCAGATTTTATTACCAGTTCGCGGTACTGTAACCGCTAATCCGATCGTATCCTTTATCCAAAGATCGCACAAGTAAAATATGTGCCCGGACAACCTTTTAAGCGGTCTTGTTGATGTTCTAAAGCGTCCAAAGGTAACTTTTCCAGACACGCCGTGGTCTTTGTCCACTCTATCACTATTGCTTATTGTTAGCCGCAGGGCCGACGCCACGCAGACCACGGAGGCTGCAACGCCAGGCATCGTCTTTTTTTCAAAGACTCGCAAACGCGTTTGCTCACAACTATCTTACATAACTTTTTGATACTCAAGTTTAAAGAGTTGCAACTTTTGGTGACTTCTGGCTTTCACTTACGTTAGAAAAGGTAAAAAGAATGATCAAACAAAAAAATCGTGCCCCAAGATGAAGTGGTCCAAACAAGATCATTTTGGTTGTAGGGAGGGGGGGGGGGCTTTCACTATCAGGGAACTTTTTGTCTGTACCTTTTTCAACCTGTATCTTCTCCCTAACGAGACTCTGACTGCATCCCTGAACGCACCACATGGATAACACACAAATATACTGCCTAAACCGAATCTGAAGCCAACATGATGACTTGAAGCCGAAGTCGAATCCGAAGCCGGGTAGAAGAAGGAAGCGGAAGCATTCGGTGCTTAATCATATAATTCGATAAAACGGAATATTGGCCTTTCAGATGTCGAAAAATAACACCACACAGTGATTTGAAAAATCAGCACGGCAGCTCCCATTGTCTCAGAGGGGTAGATATTAGGAAAGATCTTAAGGAACCACCAAACATACTGACGACCACCTGTTCCGAGCCTCCAGGACAATCGACACCAAACTTTCATCATTCGATTATTCTTGGTCGATAACCTATCGCTTAAACGTGGTGATTATAGGTCAAGTTAGAGGTCGCCAAAAAACGCCAAAAATAGAAAAAAGCAGTCTGCCAGACAAATTCGTGCTCCGAGCCTATGCGACAGATCAACGCAAAGCCTTCACCGATCAATCTGCCATGGTCAGGATCATCTCATTTCCAGAATTTGGTAACCTTTGGTCAGGCCAAAGCTCATAAAACATTGGTGAAGGCTTGGTTTTGATCGGTCGCATAGACTTTATCAATAAACTAATTTCTGGTAGTTTCGGGCGTTGTTGGTGACTTTTGGCACGGTCCAAGGAAACCATCTTCTAGGGAGAATAAAATATCAGTTATGACTCGGAGCAATAAGTTGTGTGCAAAATATCTTATTCGGTCTTGGACGTTTTACGTGACCCTTTACCTGACCCAAAACCACGATGTTCTGAAGAGGATAGGATATCTGTCGTGATACATCGACTAGTGGAAATTTTGTGGTGACCTGTCTGATAGGCTTGGCATCGGGCTGTCTGCAAGTTGATTTTTCTGGTTTGGGGGACTTCTGGTAACCTTTAACCTGATGCAGTTTATCATTTTTTATTGTGTACAATGCGTCTTGAACTAAGCGGCATCGAATGGTGAAGGTTTGTTGTTCATTTGGTTTTACAGGCCCGGAGCATATGTTGTCAACAGGCTTTGTTTGTCGTGTAGTCCGTCTCCAGATTTTATGGGGGAGTGGACACACATCGCCAAGGGCGGATTCGTAGAGAGCATTCAATTGGTTCATAGTCCCTAGGATTACAGAATTCAAGCAAAATAGGCACATGCCTTGACTTTGAAAAGAATGTAAGACATTTTTGACAGGAAAGCTGTTCAAAAAAACCTATAGGCAATAGAAAACAAAATACAATGAGCTCATGGATATCAGGGCAAAATTTTGGAACTAAGCCCCTCTAAGGCAGCCTTGCTCCTCATTTCCTCAAGGCGGGGTTATGGATCCGCCGTTGGGCATTGCGAAAACAAGCAAAGAAAAACTTTTTCACATGTAGGGAGAAGTACAAATATCCTTTTGTGTGTGGATTTGGTATCATATGGAAGTAGGCTTCGATTACGAAACTGGCTTGTTTACGCGTCGAGTATAGCAGCAGACAGCGCTCAGTGAGCTGTTGCGCTGTTGGTGTTGAGTGAGTGTGTTGGCTCGCTTTGTCCCTGAATCCTCTGCCGTTGCCTTGAATTGTAAACAATCGCTATACCGGTACTGCGCCGGCGTTGTTTTCAACACTAGGGAGCTGTTGTTTGCTGTTTCATGTGCAATACAACTACGGTAGCTCTTATTTGGCTATCAATATTGCTGCTGGGTTGCGGTTTGTTTCCTTCATAGCTGCTTTTGGCCAGTAATGTTTTGGGGCTTAAGGTGTGAATCAACCTTTTGGTAGCCGACCTACATGCTTTTTTGCCTCATTGAAACTCTGCAGCTTTTGCATCTGTGCTTGCATGAAAATAATCAGTCATCCTGTAATTGAAGTAATTTATCCATTCCTAATTTAGCTTTCCTGTGAGTGACAAACTCTTCACTGTTCCTGCTTTGTTGATAGCTGCACCAACATCCAATAATTCCTGTTAAAGCAATGCACTGTAAATTGTGTCCCCAATCTGGCTCTGTGTGATTATCCCTGCTGTCCTTTCAGTGATGCATTAGTGCAACAGCAACATGTGGGTTAAACCTCAAGAGGTGCTGATTGCCAATGCCCTGTGGTAAGTATTTGATCTGCTTTGGCATGTCATCAAAATAATAAGGTGATAAATGCAACTTTGTTTTTTCATAGGTTTTGTGGAAAAACAAAGTTTGTGGAATAACATTGTATTTGCGCTACATACAGAATGTATCTGCGCACAGTTTCATAACATTATTCATTCATACGGCCTTAAAGTTAATGAATGATTTAATGCCACCTTGATTCTAGGAAATCACTGCCTCTTCTTCTCATTGCATGGTATTCTTTATCATGTCTATACTCCCAAGTGTATTTTGGTTAAACTCACACCAGACCTATGCTTGTCCACAGGGTGGTTGAGCGATCCAACCAATACTTTGTCCTTCAGAAGAGGAAAGGCCATGGAACCAGGGGGCTCTCATCGCTTTTGGTGGGAACAATGGACTCAGTGTTTGACACAAGGCCTCCACCATATAGGATCCTACACCAGACACCATCATCAGAAGTCAGCTATTGTGAGTAACTTGTGCAGCATGAGCTGTCTGGCTGGTTTGGTAAGCTTATGCAATAGGTATTTGGGGCTGGTTTCATGATTTTTGCCACTTGTAAACTATCACAGAGTGACCATTGACCTTGACCAGTTTTTGCTCACATTGTGCTGACCATATCCTAAATATTTTGACATGTAGCCAAGCAGTAGGAAATGAGAAAAGCTTCTGCAAGTTTTGTGGCCTTGGAATGTGAGTGAGAATCCATGTCTTTTTAAGATGAAATCTACACTTCTTATATAAATTTCACAATATCCTATTGATGTCCCAGTACAACAAGCTCTCATTTATCATCTTAGAAAATAAATAATGCTTAGAATCTGAGACTGATTTAAACAAGCCAAAATGAATTTAAAGAAGCCAAAATTTATTCCAACAAGCTGTGCTCAAGTGCTGAGCATTGCCTTAGCTGACAAGATGGGCATATTTTCATCAGGTCAGTAAGAGCTATGCACTGTGATTTACTACATCATCCAAGCATCTTTTGTGAAATGGTAATTCAACCCACATCTTCACTCACCATTTTATGGAGCACTGGCAAGTGCAGAGACCACATGAGTGCTTGTAGGCCATGGTGCAATTGGTGTTGAAATCCGAGCCAATATTTTCCCAGATCTGTAGCATGTGTATTACAGAGATTGGGCCAAATCAGGTTGCCTTTGAAATGCTGATGAGTCCAGCCCCATAGATGCCACCAGCCACATCATACTGTGCGTGGAAACCACTGTTTCTGTATTGCTGTATCCACTGTATCACTTTTTTCCCGCCGTTGAGGTCGGACCACCGTTGTCATCGCGAGAAACGTGCATGGCGCGGTGCGTGTTACCCTGATGTCACCAACGACGATTTGGTGTCATGTTTTCATGACTAACAACAACAAAACTGCGGAGATGTCTCACTTTTCCGTGTTGTTTTCTGTGGATACCCTGCTGGTGACGCAGTATTAGATACGAGCGGTTAGTTCTGACGACGACCACACATCATGGTTCCTTGACAATCGCAACACGATTAGATTCAGTGAAGCATGGTCATACCGGCGTGTTGTGCCCGTAATAATAGCCTTCTCAACTTTTTTTTTGCTGAGCATAAGCGCCTGCAAACTTGCTGTGCATCTGTTTTCTCCATATGAAATAACGAAATTGCAGGATTGAGTAACGATCCCGTTATAACCACGCAAGCAGCACCTTTGCCCTTACAACCAAAGTAGAGTTATGAGCGGTTCCCGTCTACTTGTAAAAGCTGCACAGGACAGTTACAGGAATGTTTGCCTATTCAGGACGTGGTGAACGGGCCGGAGTAGAGGAGGGTGCTCGAGTCGGCCGTAGGTCACGGGATAAACCGAAGTTGGTTCAAACTAGACCATGTTTACGTAGGTTTTATGCGGCTCACGCGTGACAAATCCGTCATGTCATGACTATCTGTGTTTATGGAAAACAATCATCACATCGCTTCAGCTGAGTAGATTCCCCGCACACGATTTCCTTTCGCGCGTGTAATTGTTGGTGGCGTTGCTACCACCGAATAGCATCGGGACACCACGATGCGACACAGGATGAGTCCGGCTGAGAATTCACGCTGCTCTTCGTGGAATGCGATGGCGATCTCTCCACAACTGTGACGTCACGAGCTGCGCAAACCGCACGCTTCCAACGGAGCCCGCGCAGCGTCCGCCGCTCCGACCACCGCGCTGTTAGGCGTCGACGAGCACCGACGCCGCGCGGCCGCCGCGTGGTCCGACGCCACGCGCCGACGGGCGCCGGGGGCGACACGGCTGGCGGGCCGGGGCTCGTGTGACTCACGCTCGGGTCGACCACCTGCGCACCGTGCGGCGGCGCGTGTCGGGACGGCACGGACGCAGGGAAGACGGGAGGGCGATGGAGTGCTCTTTGTCTCGGACGGCTGGAGATTTAGCCACTTGTTGGCTGGGTGGGCTGCTGGTTCGCTGACCCCTGATTTTTTTCTATTGCACCACTCGCCGCTTGACGTTGCTATCTCATCTACTAGCGCACAGCCCACGCCAGTCCACGTCTACTCTCACTGCGCGAACTCTCGGCGACTGGTCTCAGTTCCGGGGGGCGGTTTTAGCTTGGTCGGCATTGCCGCCCTCGCCGGGCGCCGAATCGCGGCTGACTCTCGATCTGTGCCCGCTCCCCTCCCCCTCGACCTTCGACCAGGAACCAGAGTAACGTCGGGCCAGTTAAAATCCGCTCCCATTGGCGGCCAGGCCGCGACCGCGCGCTGGCCGGACACGTGCGGCGCCGAACGGTCGGATTTAGGGCAGTCTGCGGTCATCACGCGCACCACTTGGCGCGGCAGGACCTCCGCGCTGCCGGTGCGCCCGAACACACCAAATCGTCGTCATCACATGGGCCACCAATCAGCCTTGCGAGCGTCGGGCGTGACCATTACTGTGACCGGCAGCTGTGCGGCGTCACGTCCGTGTCGCGTGGCGCGTCACGTCCGTGTCGCGTGCGCTGCACGTGTCCGTGAACCGCGGACGGTCCACGTTGATGGCTCACTGGCGGAGTGCCCTTCCGCGGCCGGTCCACGCTGATGGTTCACTGGCGGAGTGCCCTTCCGCGGACGGTCCACGTTGATGGCTCACTGGCGGAGTGCCCTTCCGCGGACGGTCCACGTTGATGGCTCACTGGCGGAGTGCCCTTCCGCGGACGGTCCACGTCGATGGCTCAATGGCGGAGTGTCCTCGCTTCCGTTCACGCCAGGGTGCGCGTCGAAACGTCCGGTTGCGGGCGAGGCGTCTGTCGGCTGCTGATAGCGCAGACCATCCACAGGCCATGTGCGACGCGCGGTGTGCGTGGCGGGCCGAGCGGTGGGCTGCTCGGCAAGCGACAGCGGGCCGTCGGCTGGGTGAGCGAGGAGTGCGATGCTCGGCGATGCTGTAAAGTTGAGGACAGTCTCGTTGTAACTGGCAGCTTAGGGCGGCAACAATATGCTTTGAGGTGGCATAGAATAAACAGGGAAGTTAAGAGACGGGGTTCGTAAGTGGTGGGGTGAGGTTTCCTACATTTGTGAATTGGACCCCTTGTGAAATGGTTTGCCTCGGAATCGTCCCTCACGATGTTCGCGCCGGTACCCCTTCCTCTTCTCCGTGCCCGTTCCGTTACTTCATGGCACACCCAATGCCTGGACTACCACCGCCACGGCCTCCCACCGCCGCTGGCGCCGGCGAGCGGCGAACATGCGTCCTGTAGCCAGGCTCGAACCCACGCTCCGGTGCGCGGTCGCGGGCAGAGGCGGCAGCCAGCTGCACCGGGGCCGCCCCGCACCGGCCGGCCCCTGAGCGCGCTCCTGTGGCACCGGGCGCGTGCAGAACGGCCGGCGCGCGGCTCGCTTGCAGGCAGGCCGCAGCGGCGGCGGCGGCGGCCGAAGGCGGCGCGGCGAGCGTTGACTCGGCTCCCCGGCGCCCGCGCTGGACCGCCACCAGACCGGCCGTCCCCCCCCCCCCGCCGCCGCACCGGCGGTGAGCGGTCACCGGGGGTGGAGCTCGTCCTCAGCTGTGTGGGATCGTCTCCAGTGGTGTTGGATCGTCCCCAGCTGTGTGGATCGTCTCCAGTGGTGTTGGATCGTCCCCAGCTGTGTGGGATCGTCTCCAGTGGTGTTGGATCGTCCTCAGCTGAGTGGGATCGTCTCCAGTGGTGTTGGATCGTCCTCAGCTGCGCGGGATCGTCTCCAGTGGTGTTGGATCGTCCCTAGCTGCGCGGGGATCGTCTCCAGTGGCGCGGGATCGTCTCCAGCTGCGTGGATTGTCTCCAGTGGCGCGGGATCGTCTCCAGCCGCTTGGGATTGTCTGCAGCCGCTTAGGATCGTCTCCAGTGGCGCGGGATCGTCTCCAGCCGCTTGGGATCGTCTGTAGTGGCGCAGGATCGTCTCCAGTGGCGCGGGATCGTCCCCCGCTGAGGCCTCGCTTCCCTCCAGGGGACGTCGGCTGGTGGTGAGTAGGAGGCAGGGCTCCCCAGCGCCGGCATCCCGCCCCGGGTCAACCCCATGGGGTTTGGTGAGGTGCCCGGGCTGACCATAGCCGGACTTTGAGAATACCAGGGATCCGTTTTTCATCGGCAAGTGGAAGTCGTGTCCCCGTCGTCGTGTAAGCCCGTTCGACCTGTGCCTTATCCACCGGACTCACCTGTGACGCCACGGGCAAATCCGGTTCCTTACTCGCCGGAGAGGCGGAGTAAGTGTGATTGTTTGCAAATAAGCCGTGGTTGTTTACATAGCAGCACCTAGCAACAGTTGACGCGCTGTGTACAGTTTTGTACGTCGGGCATGCCGGCAGCTCCCGACCACGTGTGCATAGCGTGCTCGATAGCGAGATTATCAACAACAGAACATGCCGATCATGCCGCAATGAAGTAGTATCTAAGTGCGCCATTGCTGCGCACTGTATGTCTCCATGGGCCGACTCAGCTTATTTTACTTGCTGCTCATGTTTGGACTCCCAGGCGTTCTCGACAAACGCGTGCGAGGCACTTACCTGAGACGTCACAGGCTGCCACCTCGGTGGACGGTCAGTCTGTGAGAACCAGGCCCTAGAAGTGTAGGCTTGCGCTGAAGCCCGCCACGCGTCAGGTGCTACCGGCTCTGGGCTGGTGCCTTAGCATCTCAGTTGGTAGCGGGTGCTCTCACGAAAACGGAATCATGGAGCTAATTGCGGGAATGGCGTGGACCGATACTGGCGCGGCGTCGCCGCCTGGCGGTATTCGTGAGAACTAGCATGTTGTTGGGGAACGGGAGGTCATCGCGGGTCGGCCCCCCACCCACAGCGGGGGAATGAAGCTTAGGCCTGAGGCGGCGCGTGGACGTAACCGAACCGGCAGCCTCTGAGCCGCCCCCTCCCCTCCCCCTCCCCTCCCCCCGAATGCCGAATATGACGCGCCGGCTGCGAGCGCTTCTGATTCGCGTTGCCTCTGTCCAGTTTGTCACGCCCTGCTGGGCAGCAAGACGCGGCT